ATGTGTGTGTATGTATTGTACAATCGCGTGGGTACAACAGCTTGCTTTTCCTTGAACCTTGCTTTTCCTTGAACCTTGCTTGTTCTTCAAGACCATGTGCACTAAAGACCATGAAGCTTGAGAATGTAAATCCTAACACATTAACAGCAACAGCAGGCATAGGGTTTAGTTGTGAAATACTTGTTGTATTAGTTGTGTATATGACAGTAGCAGGCACAAGGTTTAGTTGTGTATATGACATAGGTTAAAGTTTGATTTTCTTCATTAATGGCTATTTTGGTGAAATTCTTGAGTATTGATCTTGTAAACAATAATATAAACATGGTTAGATGGTATTTTGATTGTTGGAATAAAGATTGAATCCAAAATATGGGTTTTAGCCTATTTAGTGGTGAATTTGACAGCACCGAATCTATCCGACATGCTGTTTTGAATGTGCGATAACTTTTTAACCGTAGCTCGGGTTGCTACGATTATGGACATTTTAGAAAGCTTATATGTAGCTCTAAACCTGTCCTTTAAACACTTTTTAGAAATAAGGATTCTAGGTTGGTTATATTTGCGTCTAAAAACTGATAAAAAGTTGTTTTTGAGCTGTGAATTATAGTAACTAAAATGAGTTTAAATTAAGAGCTGTTGGATAGGTATTATACTATATGTCATTTAGTTAAATACACACTTAAACAACATTACCATTCAGCAAGGAATGGTTATATCTTCAAAGGAGATAGGGGTATATTAGGTTATACCTGCTATTTGCCAAGGCACAGTAGTATGTATGCATAATATTACTTTTCCATTTAGCAAAATACACACTTAAACAACATTTGCTTTTAAGTTTGTGTATTGTGTTCCATGTGATGATGCATGTTAAGAGTTGTTGGATAGGTACTATACTATATGTCATTTAGTGAAATACACACTTAAACAACATTACTTTGCTTCTTTTTCCTGTTTATAGCAATCCATACAAATGTTTTTGCTATTAAAGTTGATATACACAGTTGCTCAAAGGTTATTACATATTAGATGGCATGTTTTAGTCCATCAAAACAACATCGCATACAACAATTCACCCTAATCAGGTAAGAATACCTATCACGGTAGATAAATATGTGAACTTTATTCATTATCATAACAAAAGTAAGCCATGAAAATTAAGCTTTGAATTATGATGCTAGGTACAGATTGGGAAGTAATTAACATATTGGCATAACTTGTACACTGAAAAATGGAGGAAACAAAGAACAACAAGACGCTAGTTATTAAATGGATCTAAACATTCAATGGAAACTTTGAATCAAGAAGCTTAAAATCTTGTTGGGATTGGATTTCTTCTCGATTCAAGGGCTTCTGCCTTTGAATACAACCACCGATTCTCAACCTCTAAGATCCTCACATAAATACATAATTCATATTAAAATATTCAAAGTTTTGATTTCAACCTCTAAAATGGTAAAATAGAACAACATTGATGCGTTTTTTTATGTCGATAGGTTCAGAACACTTTGGAGCGAAAAAGGACAAAAAGAAGATTTTTGACAACTTTATGAGACACTGGTATTTCAAGCCTATCTAACTCGTCCGAGTTCGGATTTAAGTTATTCAAGATGATCTGAAAAGCTAACAAACAGCCCCACAAATTTTAAGTTTTGAGTTTCTGCAGATTCGGACGGCTTCTAAGACGAAATTAACGTCGAAGGCGGAAAAGAACTGTTGGACAACAACTGACAGCAACCACGAAAGTAGAACAACAGCARGTGACAATATACACACACAAATATAACTTTCTATTATGTACACCATTGAGATAATAAAACTAAAGTTATCACAGCAGGAGAGACAATAACTTACCCATTCATCTATAACAAGTCCTTCCTCTTTGGACTTGTATCCACTTGAAGTTATTTGCGTAATTCTAATTCAACCTCAGCTTCAGGCAGTTGATGCTTTAGTTTTTCCAATGCCTGAATGCAACAATCTCTGTGTCAATTTAATATGATGACCAATTATATAACAGAATGCAACTAATATAAACAAACACTAAAAATGAACAGTTCTTTATTGTTTTCGTCTAAACTAAAGGATACATTTAACCACAAG